GGCCTGCACTTTTGACATCCCAAGGAAGTTTATAAATCTCTCTCCGACCCACATACCCCTCGCCCTCCACAACCTGGCTGACCCACTTGGTCTTCATGGTTGTACCAGTGTAACACGGGAGTGCTTAAAGATGACTCTGCGACACTTCTGCGCTGACGTGGTATATTTAAGACAAAACTACAGCAGAAACATTTCAAGACTGGGTTGAGTGGACTACAAGTCACAGTTTCTTGTTCCCATGTACAGTATCAATACAGATCTTAGTGCAGTGCCTGAAACAGTTCATACATTGCTACTGTTGTGGAACAGAAGAGGGTGCACTTTGTTTTATAAAAAAAACCCAAATAAATTACACATTGAGAGCTACTGCCAAGCTTTACATATAAAAGGTAAAAATACAGTCAGTAGTTAGTGAAGCTTCAACAACAAAAAACCTAGCTAAAAAAATATTCTTACATACTTTAAAAATAAGTTTGTCCAGTTATAGGTGGAGGAGAGTGTGTGTGTGGGTTTTTATGATGCAGAGTGCTCAAGCCAAGCAGTAAAAAGCAGGTGAATTTTGTAGGACGAGCTCACAGGTGCCCAATGACAGATCCTGACTTCCCACTCCGCCCGCATCTCCCTCTGGAAGCCCAGGAGAAGCCAGCGCAGCACTTACCGAAATCACAGCAGCTCTATCTGCCTCCACGTGAGCACAGGGCCGGGTGTACTTATGCTTGTGGTGCTCACACTCTGACCAAACACACACAGGTGACACCTGCATCACTGAAAGGCCATTAACATAGATTACATTTATTTTTTTGGTATAAAAGTTAGGATTGTCCAGCTGCAATTGAAAGCTGTGACATTACCATGTCCAACAGCTACAGATACATATTTACTACAACTAACACTCTTCTGCCCCCAGAGAGCTGGCTGTGAAACAGAGCTGCTAACGCTTCATCTGTACAAGATTTGGATTGCACCAGAATACGTTCAAAATGTGAAAAATAGATCCAGTGCTGTTAGTGAAAGACATGTGGAGCTTAACAGTACAGCTTTGCTTCAAGGAATGAGAATGAGCAAGGTGCAAAGGGGGAAGAGGCAAGGGCTGAAAGTAGTTTGTGGAAAGAGACCCAAATGTAACTGGACTGTTCACCTGAGCTCTTCTAACAGTGCTGCAGATTTTCTTGCCAAAGTCTTGTCTAAAAAATTGTCTGAAACATAGCTTTTACACAGCTGTCTGTCTTTGAAAAAACATACTTGAAATTTAAATTTAGAATTGAATACCTTCAAGCTAATTCATTAACAATGACTGATTACCATGTGACTGGTTAATGTTGTTTGTCTTCCTCATATTAAGCCCCATCACCGATGAACTAAAGCAATTCCCTTAATTCAAGCATAAGAGGGCCTGAACTCCCACATTTTAATACCAATTTCAAAGCCATCAGGACTGCAGCCACATGCTCAGCACCTGCAGCCTCTCTGGTCTCTTCCTGTTGGGCTAAACGAGTGAGACTGAAATGCAGTTTTAAGGCCCAGCACCTCCCCAAGATCAACTGGTTTGAGATACAGGGGGGAGGTTTTGTATAGTTACAAGTGTTAAGATTTTATAGAATCTTTTACTCTGATCACTTACAGTGTGTCTGGAGTAAAATCACTTTCACTTTTAGATCCAATCATTTAAGATTTTAGTTCAAGTTACCACTCTATAGAGTTTGAAGAAGCATCCACCTGCTCAGCACTGCATGTACACACAGCAAAAGGGTGCATGGGCAGTTAGTGAGGACAGCTGGGATATGCATTGTTGAGTCAATAGGGCATAACTTGATTAGGGAAAAAAAAAACCCTGAACTTTTTCTTTTACATCAGGGAGCTGGCTTTTTCCAAATGACTGCAGCAGAACATGCATTTGTTCATTCCTGCCAAGTCTTACTGCTTTTAAGTGATTGGCACACCTGCCAACATCCCAGTGCCAGATTCACACCTAAGTTTGGTTTATACATTTCTTTAAATAAATACCAAAAAATAAACTTTTAGAGGATGATTGGATCTTATAGCCAATCAATCAACAGTACAGCAATGGTAAGAAAATCCCTTTTCCCAAGCAGCACACATGCATTAATTAATAACACTAACTGCAGGAACTATTCTACCTATTAGGGTTGATAGAAAGCAGGTGATGAGTAATGCCCCGTTACCTGTTAGCCAGTCATGATGCAATGTGGTACCTGGAGTTTTAAATCAAAACAGTGATGCCAAAACTACAGGATGTTCAGGTGCCTTCCTGTTTGTCCATTCAGATCACATTACTGTGGTGCCTTAGTCCTGCTTACTACTTACTTACTGCTTACTACTCCCTATATAAACAATTATTTGGATTAGCTAAATAAGCTACATCGAGTTAAATGAAATGAGTATTTGCTACACGTATCAGGTGTCACTGGAAAGAGCTGGGTTTGCAGCCCCAAATGTACTAGAAATTGCAAGTCCCCAATTTAACAGTTGGAAATTTTGAATGGACATTCCGCTCTGATCCCCACTGTCCCAACCATACTGAATTAACAGTCGGTGACTTGGAACCATTTAGGTTTTAGGGGGACAGACACACCACACGTGTTTTACTTGTTTGCTGTATGTGATTGCTCGGGAGGAATCTCGGGATGGTGTTCAACATGCAAGGCTGTAAAACTGTAAACTTCTTCTGCTTTGGGGAGGGATTCAAGCTCACAGCTCACAGAGCTCCTGAACCCAACGGGAAGAGTCAGATACCAAACACGCCTTAAAAGAAAATGCTACTGCGTTCTCTCTATTTACAAACCCAACACATGTAGCTGGCGAATGCCAGCTCAGCTGCTGAGCAAACAGATCAACAGCAAGTGCCAAGTTTCCCCACACAGTCCTGGCTTTGTGCAGGAAGCAGACTGTTGCAGACATAGCGTCCCTTTTCCTGCAGGAACTTTGCTGGCAACTCTATTATTCATCCAGACAAAGACATTTGATCTTTGAATTGGGATCCTTCGACGCTTTAATATGCAATAAGGCTCAAACTTAAAAGTATAAAAAAAGCTCCAGTGCTCCACTGGAAGTATCAAGGACAGAGCTGCACAGCTGGCGAGCAGAAACGCTCCACACGGCGCAGAGCAGCAATTCCCCTCTGGCTGGAGTGGAGACCCAAAGCACCCACCACCCATTCCGACTCCTAGTTCTTGAGGCAACAGCCACAAATCATGGTCTGCAGAGGGTCGCTCTGGTACGTCAGACCTAAGAGCTTCCCACAGCTTCTGTGTTTCTCTATTAAGGCCTTGGGGGTTTTGAGGAGCGGCAGTGGGCCACGTAAATACCACGTGGCTTCTTCCTTAACACCCTCATTCAACATCTTGCAAACAAGCACAAGAGCAGCAGCGAGGATGCCCCAGTGTGGAAGAAACAGCCTAGCAGGGCACCAGCTTACCTGCACAACCCACAAGTGGTTTGGTCCAGATCTCTGTCTATGCTGAGATGCCCGTGCAGCTGGTGTGCAGAAATGAAGTTGTGCATAGAGGTTTCAGAATCGACTTTCACATTTAAAAAAAATGTTTCTAAGGACCACATGTATATAAATATTTATAAACAGCAGCACTGTGCAGAAAACATCCTCCAGCCCCAGTTGTTTCATCTGTGCTTTCCTGTCAGGAGATGTAAAGTTCATCATCAGGCTTCTGGACTTCTCCTCCCTCTGACTCTGCATTGACCTTTTTCACAGGCTGTCCCCCTGGGGTCCATGTGCTTACCCCTACATGTCCACATGAGGATCCTGCTGCCCAGGACTCAAATGTTCTTTTCAAACTCTACACACTGTATTCTGTACTTCACCGGAGCACCAAAAGGCCTTCACCGGCTCTGTGGAGCATGCTCTTGCAAGCGCTCCAACCTCCCTTCTACAAAGAAGTGAACTGCTTTCACCTTAATCTTTCTATTCTTTGCTCCACATACAAGTTAGATGACACCTGGAACAGGATTGGAGGTGTTGGTAAGAACAGATGTAGTTGTACCCTCATGCCACTAACACACCTGGCAAGTATTGCCAAAGCACGGCATCTGGAAACAACTCCCAGAAGTAGCATGAACAGAAACAAGAAAATTATTTTCCTTCCTAGTCCTATTTGACAACAAATCTAACTGATAAGCAGTTCCCACAGTAAGCTGTACTCATACCTTCACTGCTTCAGCATTTAAAACGTACGTATCTCTAGCCTAAAATGCATGTATTTGAGTCATACAGGAAGTGAAACAATGACTGTCAAAATGTGGGACCTCTGCTGTAGTCTGCTAACGCTGTAAACTGTTTGGCAGGTTAATTTTCCTTTTCCTGGTTGCAACAAGCACCTCAAATGCAGTCAAAGCAGCTGGCTGCTGATGGACTAGATTTTCATCCTCTCCAGGTACTGTAACAAGAGATGCAAGAATTATTAAGGGGTTTAAGGCCAAAAAGGAGAGTATGTGTTGGTAAAACAAAATAAAAACGGAGGGAATAATCCCACAGAAGAAAATGTCCTTGGCGATATGAAACAGTCACCGTTAGTGTGACCACAAGGTGGCTCTACAAGTTCTCCTAATCTTCCCAGTATTGCTCTACAGAGGTGGGGACACGGTGCTCACACACTACATGGCTAACGTCACAGTGAACGCCTCCTGTTCACACTCGAGAGGCAGCGCAGGGTAAGACTAAACCTAGCGTGAGTGGAACACAGCCAGATTCTGTTCCTCACATTCAGAACTAGCTCCAGTGTGGTATTTCATTTCTCCTCAGGGAGAAGATCAAATGTGCATGTGGTTTCATATCCCGGTTTAGACTGTAATTCCAGTTAGACTGCAATGAATGACTGAAGTCTCTTCCTGGATCCTAGGAAACAGCTGGCTGTTTGGTTCCCGTTCACCAAGAATTTGATCCCAAGCAAGTCTTTTGGAAGGATCCCTTGAAGATATGTTAGAAGATTGGAGTTTTTACAAGGTGGGAAGTGCAGAAACTCCTCCTTCTAGAGTTCAGTGGTGAGTAAACATTTTGTTCTTATCGTAGCATCCTCAGTAACTGGGCTAGAAGTGGTGGTGTGGGGAAAGAAAAAAAAAAGAGGCCCTGTAAATACACTCCTTCAAAAATATCTGCCACAATGGATTATAAAGGATGAATACTGTTCCAAAGAGCATTAATGGCTGTTCCCCTCCTAATTTAATGAGGCCAAAGGAGAAACCTTTCCAATGCAGAAGAGCAAACCACATGAATTTCACAGAGTGCAGCAGTAGCATCACTGCCGTCTGTGTGTTTAAGAGGTTCACTGAAAGGCCTGATTGTCACTGCCATCATTCTGCCTCACCAAAACGGAATAGGAAAGGGAAAGGTTTCTACAGATTCTGTTCTGACTTCCTTATGGCTTGGAAATAACTGGGGGACAGGCCTCCCCAGCTCCCACATCTGCCAGTCCTCTGACAGGTACTGAAACACTGATGTTTCTCAGAAAATTCATCTGTACCACACTTACAGTCCAGCAGCAAAAGATGCTGGCAGATAAGGAAACTGAAGTGAAGTTATAATGAAAAAGAATTCACCAATTTTACAACACAATGACAAGGGGTTTACCTCTGACTCTAGCTAAATTTGTGTGCTTCATTCCTACTTACCTGAGCTAACAAAAAAGTTTTCTCACCCTTCAAACAATGTTATGTAAAAATATACACACATCAGGTAGTCTATTTATTTTTAAGATTTCAAACGCTAAAAAGTGAGACAGAACTAGAGTGTATAAGCACAGCAAAAACAGGCACTGCCTTTAAATCACCTCCATAACTACTGAAGTGGAAGCTGTATGAGCACACGCTTCCTTTCCGTCCCATGCAGCCTTCCCAAGTGAGTGCTGAGGAGACCTCACCTTGCCAGGGCTTCCGACGTCTGCTGGGACGGCGGCGTCGATCCAGCTGACACCAGCAGAGTCTCCGCGCTGCCTTTCCCGGCCTTCGTGGCTAAGGCAACATCATTTCCCAAAGGCCCATTGGAGATCAGTCCTGTCTGAATTGCGGAGAAGACGAAAGAGGAAACTGAAATAAAAACCTGCCAGGACATGACAAGATGATTTTTCAATACAATTTCTTCATTACAGTAAAAACTACAATTTGCCAGGTTCCAGTGTGAGCCTCACTAAATGCAAGTTCTTGAAGAAACTTTATGGCATTTACTGCAATATAATACAGCAAAAAACTAAATTTCAATACTAACAGGATATGTATGTTGTTTGATTTATTCCAGCTTAATTAGTGGGCTTTTTTTTTGGTCTGGTGCATTATTTTATGTGCTTTCACATTGTTACAGTTTACTATTTTACTGAAGCTCCTGTTGCTTAAATGTGACAAAAGCTTTTGATTTTTTGTAGGTGTTAAGAAATGGTCAGATAACTCACTGGCACTATCCACCTTGGTGTTATCTTGGGCTGGGAAGACACCTACGAAAAGCAAACAAAATGCTCATTAGAAAAGGTTGCAAGTAGCTGAGAACATTCTGAAAACAACATTGCCTCCCAAAACGATCTCGGGTATTCTCTGAACCATGAAACTCGAAGAAACTCGCTGGCAGCAGTTTCAGCATAGCCTCCCTTCCAAAACGCAACTGAACCCATTATTTTTTTCTACTTTGTGGACAAAGTTAACCAAGAGCATACTTCTGAGAACAGTTTAAAGGTCCTACTCCTTCCCCCTTGTTGATTTTTTTTGTGTACGCAGTGTAACTCCTTTTGCACTGGCACAGATTATAAGCGATTTGTTTTTCCTCTAAATAAGAAGGTTGATTCACACTAAAAGTTTATTTTTCAAGTATATATTTTTATTTATACATACACACAAATACATACATCTGTGTGTGTACATACACATTTACACATGATTTCTGAAGTCTTATATACACCAAAAGCCTGAAAAGCAGGCTGGCACTTGCAGGTGTACTAAAATAAGACTACAGGCTCAGATGGCAAGTTAACTCTTCAGTTAACCCCTTCAATTCCTTTACAGAGCTGTAGGGTCCACAACCCTCACCCAGCCACCCTTCGAGTAGTGGGGGCAAGTCTGTCACTGCATTGCCCAACTGCAGCAGCTCCACACCTGGTGGACAAATACTAAAGACAGAGAACAGTTTAGGAGTAAAAACCACTGTGTGTGTGAAGGAAGAAGTTTGGTTTTGAAATACATTTACCCGAGGTGTGGCTTCTGTAAAGTCAATTAGATTCTCTGTCAATGATGTTAAGGAAACGTCCTGGTCATCTGGAGTGCTCTATGGAATAAATCAGTTTTGAATTGAATTCCCAGTAGTAACCAGATGGTTCTGTTGAATATTCTAATGGCTTCCCAAGTTATAGATCAGTGTCCTTAATGAACACCACTGTACCAGGTCTGTTTTCTCAAATCTTTCCATATCATCTTTTTTAATAGCCTTTTCACTTCACTTATTCTCATCAAGAAACTGGAAACAACGTCACTGCCACGTAAGCTGTGAAACTGTTCCCTTCTCCTAGGTGAAAATGGGGTACTGCACCATTCAACAGGAAGGTCTATAAGGTCTGTGAGCTGAGTGTTTGAACTTAGAAGATGAAATTGGTAATTATTCAGTGGGATCAACTACATAATACTGGATTAGAGGGACAACAGCTAAAGGGCGTAGTGCTTTCATGAGTCAGAATAAACCCCTCAGTCTGCTAAAGTAGCAGGGAAGTCCAATGCTAGACTCTTCTTTTGGAGAGGGGCAAAGGAAAGCTGATCCCTGAGTTGCTACATGCATTTCATGGAGTCTAGTTAAAAATTACCTTATGCTTAAGGTAACCAGAGTACAACAATTAAACATTTCCATTTTAGCTTTTCCCTCTGTGGTGATTTTTATAGGAAATAGTTATGCCAGAATTTCATCCCTCTTTCCTGGTGCATCAAATCATTGGGATATGAAAACAATTGATTAAGAAAAAAAACAAACTTTCGAGCAAAGAACCTGACAGGACACTCAGAAACAGCCTTTGAAGAGATCTGCACCGTGTCCCAGTCTGCTCCAGAAAGCACCCTTTGGCATTCACCAGCCACTGGTATTCAGTCAGCTATGAGAGGCATGCAGCAAGGTCTGCTGTGCCTGCCTGGAGGCAGTAGCAGCTCAAAACGTGACACAGAAACTTCCCAGGCTGGCAGGTGCAGGTGGTGATACCTTTGAAACAGCAGCCTCCTCAGCTGGAATCAGCAGATCCTCCTGGTTCGGGGCAGCGTTGTCCTCGTTTAATACATTTCTGAAAGGGAAGGCAGTCTCATCAGCACACACTGACTGCCTCCTGGCGTGTCATGCAGTTCTCCTTCCCTGACAGCTCAGCCCAAAAACTCAAGACACCAGTTCCATGTGAGGCAGACAGAAATGAGTATGTTGAAACAAATGCCTTCCAACTACCCCAGCAGATTACTGATCTCCTTCATAGTTTCAACTACACCTGTGTATAGACCCAACAGTATCAGTGCCTTCAATTTCAAAGCAGCTTCTTCAGCTTTTGTTTCTAATTTGCCTGAAGCCTTCCCTGCCACATTCTTATCTTCCTCTTTAGAGCCAGGGGCAGCAGGATGTCAGATACTCCAGTCCTTTCAGAAGATGAGAGAGATTCGCTTACTGCTTGCTAGGATACTCCCCCTGAGGCCTGGCCTACACTGGTTAACTGCGGCAACGCTAATTAAAGATGCACTGGTAAACCTGCTTAGTTAGTCTAACTGGCCAGCAACTGTTCCTCATCTTTTCAGACCTGTTCATGAAGATCTGCACGTGGTTCCCTTACCACAGAAACACGTTTCTCCTGAATCACTTACGGAAGGAAGGTGTTTGAGACAGGGATTGCTTTCAGCAACTCTCTTGGGTCTTGAAATACTGGACTGGTTGCTGGGGAACTACTTCGTGTTTTGCCTAACGGGAGAATGTTCCTGGCACAAAACAACAAAAAATAAAACAAAACCACAAGTACAACCTTCCACTGAAAGCTCTTTGCAAATCACTTGCTACAGTGTATTTTTGAGATTGCTAGATGTGTGTTTCATTCAAAATCCCCAATGTGCTTGAGGTCTGACACATGCTCATTTTCATAAATGGTCAAGAAATTACACGTCGTAACCCTTTAACTTTTTCAATGTCCAAAACCTCACTGGAACTAGCAATTATTTGAAATTCAGCAATTCTCAGGAAATCAACTGTCAGTATCACGTTTTCATACATGTTTTTTTTTTTTCTCCTCTAGAAAACAGCTCCTGTAAACAGACACATCCCCTCTCTCCACAGTGAAGTTGTTTATGGTTTAGAAATAACTGTGGTGATTGAAGCTGCTCTTGGATTTATCAAACTAAAGTATGAGAGAATAAAGTGTATCTAGGTTACCTTGCATATAATAAAATTCAGCAGTTTTAATTTTAAAAGTAACTCACGCTCTTATCAAGCTAAGCTGCACTATGATAAGGTAAAACAACAGTCACCGAGCCACTGAAAAACCACACCGAGCTGCTGGTTCTCAGCACTGTTCTGGGGTAACTAGATCACGCATTTCTTTCCAAATTTGTTCAGTACCTGGCAGCAGCGTCCTGAATATTGGAATTCTTGACACCTGTCAGGCTGTCTTCTCTTACAACCTGAGAGGAAAAAATGAACAAAGATAGAAATTTCTGATACCCGTTTCCATCTTGTGTCAGTTCTGAGATTCACAGGAAAGCTGAGCACCTCCCTCCCTGCACAAGTGGACACGCTCAGGGACATAAAACATGAGTTCTGTGTGAAAACTTCAATGCATAAATAGAAATAAATCAGTGGCGCAGCCAAATGAAATGCCATTATTTGCTACAGAATTTTCTAGAGTATGCTAGAACCAGAGTCTTAGTCACAGAAACTGAGTAATTTCTTGGTTGGAAGGGAACTTTTGGAGGTTGTCTGGGTCAATCACCACTCAAACCAGGGCTTGTTCAGGGCCTTGTCCAGTTACAGGTTGAGTATTATCACGGATGGAGATTCCTCCTCGGGCAGCCCTTCCTGGGGGTACTGGACCCAGCTATTACTGTGATGAAAGGCTGAGAGACTCTCTCTTACTCTCCCTCGGACTTTGGTTCCTGGAGTACCGTTACCTGCAAGGCACCTTCTCCAACACCAGGCAACTGAAGAGAAATGAAACATTTGAGAATGTCACGGTCCTTATCAGTTGAGTATTTACCTTGTGCCCTGCTTCTGCCTGGGCCTTCAGGATATTGCTTTTGATATCTGCTGGAAGCCACGCGGCTGCTGCGACTGGGCTATCAATTGCGTTGTTAAGACATTTATCTGTCAACTTTACCACTTCATCCTAGACACGGGAAAAATCTTTATTAGAGGCAGTCGCCACATGGAGAAGTCCGGGCTGAAGTTTATTAACACCTCTAAATAACAACATGGCTCTGAGCAAGAGGAGAGTCAGCAGTTCATACTGAAATGAAAAGGGAATTTTTTCCTTTATTTTGGAACTCATTGTAAAGTCACAGCAAAACGTGAAGTAAAAAAAAAAAGCACAAGGTTTAACAGTGGAGGTGCAAAGTGCTGTGCTAAAAACACAGCGTGCAAGAACAGACACGGACCCTAAATTTGCAGTCTCATTTACTGACAGGAAATCAATACAGCAGCCGTCATATTATATCGTATCATATCAGTACAGCCTAACTATAAATTGATAATTACTCTCAAATGCACGTTGGGAAGATTTCTACCTTAAAAGCTAATTAGAACAACAGATTAACGTGCTATTAGCTACCTCTCCTATCACTGATTATATCAAAGTAAACTGGCAGCCAGATATGTAATAAAGATAATTAAAAATGAGATACCTTTCGCTATAGTCTACTTCATTAAGTGATCTGCATTTCTTAATTAAAAACTGTTAATTAAGCATTCAATCTACTAATTGCTATTTGATTAGCAACAGAAGTTAATTAGCTGAGTGGAAACTAAACCTTGTGACCTTTCTTCGGGGTGTGACTCAGTGGGGGGAGGCAGAGCCCCGCTCTCCTCCCCATGTGCCCCCCTCGCTGGCTCCCCAGGGCTCTCGCCCAGTGGACAAGCGCTGCAATTCCTGCCCCAGGCCCCAGAGTGGGCACAATCCTGCTCCTACGGACTGCAGCAGGGCCAGAAGCAATGAAACCCATCGCACACAAGAGAGCAGAGGAGAGAAGTTAAAATGAGGTGAATACCTGCCCTCTAGCCCTCCATCACCCTCTTCTAGCTTTTTTTGTTGACTGGAAACACTAGTGGGTACTTCTAGGTATTTGGTCTTTAGAAAAGGAAAAATATTTCCTTTTCCTGCCTACCTCTCAATCACCCTTGGGGTATCCAAATAGGAATTTACAAGACTATCTCTAAAGGAGAATTCATTTTAAAATTCTGACCCCAGTCAGCAATACACGTGGAAAAATGTTCAAGGGTCACTGTCAACGTAAGAATATATGAGGACCAACAACCACTGTTGCTCCTGACTACTGCTAGCAGCTATTAAAGGATGCACATTAAAATAATTCATGAAGACTAACAAAAAAATTAATTATTAAAATTTAAGTGGTCTTATTTTAGAGAAGCTGCTGGAATTGCCAAAGGTCTGGAATACTTAAAACTGAATAATAATAACAATAACAATAATAATTTCTATTATATCATATATAAATAATAATTATCATTAAGATTACATTAAAACTCTATATTATTACTACTACCACTACTACTGCAGTACCCAACTCTTGATAATTCTCAAATCCTTACACTGGATCTCACAGAACCAAGTGCTGTACATGCACAAACTTCTAATTCATTATTCCAGAACCACTGATACAGTCAACTTATTTTACCCGAGCACCTGAGTACATTGCTGCTTTAAGGACCATTTTGTGGTTTAACTTCCCCTCAGCTTTCTCCACCCGAACATCCAGTTTAACTGGGTCACTCCAGTCTATCAGCAAGTAAATTTCCAACTACTGAGAAGTTTAGTACTATTAAGAGATATTTTAACATAATCAAGTATAAGTTCTGTGTCATCAAGGAATTATTTTGATCAATATCAAAGATGCATTTTTCTCAATCATTCCCATTTTGTGCTTGAAAAAAGCACTGGTGTTTTACTGGGGTTTTTAACGGAAAGAGCAAAGAGCTATGGAGGAAACATCAACATCTCAAGACATCTAATTTAAAAGACATTTCTATTGTTCACATAAACCAGTGAAGCTGCTGGGGTTTGTCAATATTCTGGCTCGTTATGAATTTTTATTGTTTCCGTGCATTAGAAAAACTACATTTGTATTCTATTCTTTAATGAAAATATGGAGCTAGGCAGCGATGTAAAAAGGGAAGATTCAAGGCAGCAGCAGGGCATCCCAACTCTTTGTGCTTTTGAGCAGTGTCCCTGGTGTCACTAAGAATCGCTGTGCAGGGAGAGGGAGCCTAATGCAGGCACATTTCAGAGCAACTTCCACCTGCTTGCAGGCCACAGCTCGATCAGAACAAGAAAACCCTGCCAGCCTGGCATTTCTGACTCTGGAGGAAACTTCAAATACGGGCAAACAGGGTGAACTTTTTATTGTTCATTTCACTTCAGAAGCTGATGAAAGCAGAGCGTCAGTGTATTTAAGAGCTATTTGCTCTCTTTTGTCAGCTCTGGTCACTGCGCTAGTGGAAGCCCGGAAACGACAAAGTCACATTCTTCCATCCAAACAGATTTTGGCAGGGAGCAGCGGTGAAGAATGAAGCCATTCATTCCCCCCCTCCCAGTTCTCATTCTAGAAAGATTTTTCTTATTCTTTAAAAGAACACGGAGAGCTAGATAAATATTTCCC